TGGGACACTGGAGTTGTATGGAAACTAGTTTATTGCCATTAAACACTGAGATAATGGTAACAATAAAAAATAGGTTCTCTACTGGGGGCTTTTAGGGAGGCTGGAGCTCACACTTATTGGTTCGACACCACCTGGTCACAGAAAACAGGCCTTTTGTAGTGATATGACTACAAGCTGCAGTTTCTGTCGTTTCATTCCTGGACTAACGGCGGGATAAAAACTGTTCTAGTTGTGGCTTTTATTCTATAGAGATCCGCGTGAACTTCTTGCAAGGGATTTATTTTGTTTATTTTGAACCAGAGCGGAAGCGGCAGGTGAGTGCAGGTGACTTGACTACGCAGACTCGGCCGTGACTCAGAGAGTCTCCGCACAGAGGAGATAAACCCGAGTTTAACGGAACCGACGACGACCTGTCAACTGCAGTTTAGTGACGGAACCCCCGTTTATTCCGGATTAATTCGGCTTTTATCCCGGGTCAGAGGCTCCCGAGGACGGTGCCGGGTGTGAGGGTCCGGCGGCAGCGGATCTGCAGACGCGATGCTTCTGCGGGTATTTCAGCTGTTTTATGTTTGTGTCCGTACTTTTTCCAACTTTATCGCGAACCAGATTAACCAGTTTGCTAACGTGACATTCCCAGTAGCTAACATGTTGGTGCAACCGAGCAGCAGAGAGAAACGAAATACGAATATTTAAAGATTCTGGCTTTCCAAAAATTAACTTTTACTTTCTGAGCAATACTGCTGGAAAGTAACTAAGTACATTTACTCAATACTGTACTTAAGTCCAGTTTTGAGGTATCTGTACTTGAGTATTTTCATTCTCTGCCACTTTGCATTTTAGAGGCACATATTGTACTTTTTACATACATGTATTTTTATAACTTTAGTTACTAGTTACTTTTCAGAACAAGATTAAGAAACACAGTGTAAACTTAAAACTTTATTGGTCTCTAAACACTACCCAGCAATATGTAAAGTACTTCAAATTATAACCATCCAACAAGCTGCAACATTAAATGTGAAGTACTCAATATTCATCAGCACTTATAATCCAATAGAGAGTACGGCACTGCTGCACCTGTCAAACTGAGGTGTGAAGTGATGATTTACGACCCCTGGGGATGTCACACTTTCACACTTTGCTTCCGCCACTCTCCTCCCCAACACCTCCACATCTTCTTTTCCGGATTTTATTATTTTAATGCAGCAATTAGAAGTCCACCTGCATTCCTTAAAGGCTTATTACTGGGGTTTCCCATGGGAACAGGACCGAGGGACAGCCCCTAGGCTAGGGTTATTACACCACAGGATTTTTTTTATTACAATAACAGCAATGAGGAATTCACGTGACACCCGTTGTATTTATCGGGAGAGACCGAGCTGTTTCAGTTCAATTCAGTTTTATTTGTATAGCGCCAAGTCACAACAAAAGTTGTCTCAGGACACTTTACAAACTAAGGTCTAGACTGTACTATTGTTATTATTGTAATAGAAGAAAAACCCAACAAACCCCCCCGAGCAGCACTTGGCGACAGCGGGGAGGAAAAACTCCCTTTAATAGAAGAAACCTCCAACAGACCCCGGCTCTTGGTGGGCGGCCTTTTGCCTCGACCGACCAACGCATGTACAGGCATCAACAAACACTACATATTGTAAGTTCAGAATTTACAGTCAACTTGGCTAAAAGTTTAGAATTGAAGTGTGAATGAGAAGTCGGGCTTCACTGAGATTATTTACCCACATATGTGATTTAACATCCCACGCACCCAAAGTTACTTTGAGATGGCGAGTAAAGGGCCCCAGCGCTTCAACCTATTTGAGAAATTAAACGCCGGTCACTACAATACAATAGACAGCCTTATATTGGAGATGACCCGCATTTTTAAACAGATGAAGTTGGATATCTTGCTAGTATATGATACTAACCAGAAGAACTTGGCTCTCGTCAGTGATCACAAACACACCATCATATTTGATCTACTGTGGGCCTGTATGTTGGGATTTCACCCGGATGTGTGTAATATGATCGGTGATGAAACAATAGCGCCATATTGTGTGAATATAAATGGCAGGATATATAATCTATACATTTACACTGACATTGTACAGTATCAACTAGTGGGTGATGCGTATGCACCTTTGTTGAGAATCGCAGATGTTCAAGGCAACTTTGGCAACGCTCTACCCATTTCACATCAGAGGGTCCAGAAATCACACTGAAAACATTAAAACAGAAATCAAAAGTGACACAGATGAATTTATTAATTTCACATTCAAAATTTGAGGCTGGAGATTAGAGTCCGTGAACCCCTAGCTCATTCTGCGACATACCGGCAGTACTTGAAGTGAACATGAAACCTCAGATATTGGCTGACGTGCACTGTGTGCATAAAGTGTTGGTAACAGATGCACCACTGCTGGAGAGAGGGAGCTGATGAATAACCACCAGTCGGAACACTTGAAGAAGAGACTGGTCAGAGATCAGTTCTGTTGCGTGTGGCCCTGTGATAACCTGAAGGATTAAAGAGACCTGTTTATTTAATTGTGAAAGCTCACCCCTCCACGAAGCCTGGAGCTCATTGGCCCACACTTACTTTGGAGCGTGATAAAACGCGTTGTTTGATCTGTTCAGGTTCCTGACTGTGCCATGTACCCACAGACTGTATTGGACTATTTAAAATGTCATTCTGATAAAATCCTGTAAACTGCTAATTAAATTCAGGATGTAATGTCCTCTGCATGTGGCCCATGCGCAGCCTTTTATTTGTTTCATTGTGCAAGAGGATAAAGTTTTAATGATATAATTGCTTTGTATGATGATATAGATTGTATAAAGAATGATCTTTTGTTAAGGGACATCTTAATTGTGTTAGAAAGAAACCCTGTATGTCCTATAACATACTGCATGTACCATGAAAATGTTTTGTCAATGTAAAGGGTGCTTTAAAAAACAAACATCAAAGTTTAAAATCAAGTTTTAACATGTACTGGAAGCCGATGGAGAGAAAAATGAATGTGGGGTTATACGGTCAGCTGGTACCGTTTATGCATCACTTTCAACATGACGCAAGTCTGAACTGACACAAAGTTATGGCAACGACTGTGAATGGACATGGGTTTGTCTGAGTGAAGCTGTGAGGAACAGTAACGTACAGGTGACCTTCACCAGATGGGGGAGCGCCAATGTCGCACTTGTCTTGTCTCCCTGGGTTTACACTGGTACAAAACCACCACCACAACCTCCTGTGTAGTTTTATGGCAGTACAAATGTCTGTAGATCCAGACTCTGAGCAGCCGCACTGTGTGTGGACTCCAGAGACCTCCTGCCTCTGTGGTCAGGTTTGAGGACACACACAGTGGGTGATGAAAGCTGCAGCTGCAAAGAGATGCAAATACAGGATTTAAATATTCAACACTGTGTATGTGTTTGTGTGCCTTACAAATCGCACAAAAATGAGGAACAGATGGGCCATTCTGCATAGTCACTACTTTTGCTATTTCTACAACATTATGAATGCATGACCTTTACTTGTAGCCGAGTATATCTACACTGGGAAATCAGTACTTTTACTTAAGTAAAAGATCTGAGTCGTTTTGGATCTTAGACCCCCACCCCTGAAGCAGAGTCCAGGACAGAAGACCAGGCAGTTTGTCCCCAGTGAGCTTATATCAGCTTTTAGAGTAATCCAATAATGATCTATCAGTTGACAGGAGTTTTCACAACATCACCCAGCGACCTGCATGTTCACAGTGTGAAACTAAAGGTGACAGGACTGGGAAGACGTTTGCTCATGGATCAGCTGCCTCTGGCACATCTGCACCAACCTGACACTGACCGCTGTGTCGGCCTGGCTCTGTAAACGGTGCAGGCTCAGGAAAGTTCACTTTATGATCTGGGACCATGATGAAAGGCAGAGAACAAGATGCTGGGACAGTGAAATGAGTAGCCTTTTAGCCTAGCTATAAACGAAGTGATTCTAGAAATAGCATCAGAATCACAGACTTGAGGCTTCAGTGCTGGAGCTCTGTGACTTTTCCAACACTGGGAAACCACTCTCGCCGACTTCTCCTGATGTAACCTTCTCACTCATTTCCTGTCCCTTCATTACTCATTTCCTGTTTCCTGTTGGGCTCACTTCCTGTTCTCAGGGACGTTCAGTGTGTTGTCGGAGGACATGCCGTCCTGGAGCCTCTCTGTTGTTCACATTCACTCAGAAATAAAAGCTGCACTGATGTACTTGTTGTGGTGGTGGAACAGAACTATATACATTTACTCAAGTACTTCAGTACAGTTGAGGTATCTGTACTTGAGTATTTCCATGTCCTGCTCCTTCATCCTGTGACATGGAGTCATGGAGGACAAACCATGTCCTTTTTACTGCACTACATGTACCTTATAACTTCAGTTCCTTTCCAGAACCAGATGAATCAAACCAAACCCAGTAGAACCATCAGACTCTATTGATCCCAGTAGGAAATCCACCAACTACCCAGCAGGATGGAAAGTACTTCCCAGTATAAGTATATAAGGTAGTTACCATCAGCTCCACCTTTACCAGCTGCAGCATGTGTATTTTTATGTAGTTATGTTCCACCACTGCTAAAAATGAGTACATCAGCTGTATGTAGTTCTGTTCCACCACAACAACAGTACATCAGCTGTGCTGATGTACTGTTGTAACCATGCATGTATTGCATGAGCTGGACACTAAAGGCTTCACTGCACACACAGCAGGCCCACGGACTTCTCACTGTCACCGTTTAGGCTCTGAAAAAGTTACACATGGTTTAAAAATTCATAACAGAGTAAAAAACCAAGCTTGTTTGTAAGTTGGAGGAGTTCTGCCAACAATTTTACTGTCTCTTTTAATTGCAGTGCCACGAGTGGCCACCAGGGCTAAGTGGCATTACACAAGAGGACGTTTTACTGATTAATAACTGAAACTGTCATTCTGTGCCCGGTCCTCACTCCATCTTCTTTTGTTGGTTTTATCCTCTCAGGTCAGAAGCTCTGAAGACTGTTTTACTCCCCCTACAGGACAGTGGAGGAACTGCAGCTGCACCACCACCCTACCAGTCAGTAACCATTTCTGTGGTTGGAGTTGAGGCTGTTGGATGGCCACAGGAGTGAACTACTGGAGCCCATATGAACTCAGTTTCAAGGTAACAGCTGCTCTGACATCAGTTATTGTATTCACTGACAGACTGATTAACAAACACTGGCAAGTGAGGAAACAGAGCAGAGCAGGCAGAGGCCGACGGGTTGGCATTAAAATTCTCCACAGAGGGAAGTGAATACCGAAAAATAAAAGGTATTGAACCACCTTTTATCTCATGACCAGAATCCTGTACTTCAGTCCCCTGGTGACAGTAGAACTAGCTTCATCTGCTGAAGAAGGCCATGGAGTGCAACTGAAAGCTCCAGCAGTAGCTACTTGCACTTTAGAAGAGGCTCCAGGCTACACTATTTGAATATTTATTTATAGGTCCTGTTCTGAAAATCAGTGCCCACCAGAATCAACTAGGCAGCCACAGTTATCTAGACATCACATCTGGACTCATGGATCTAGCTAAGACCTGAGATCAGACTTGGACATGGACTTCGACAGTCAACATCTGGACTCTGTTTTACTGTTCATTTTTCAGTGAGGACTGTTCAGGTCTGTGTGTTTACCACTGTATTTACCTGTTGACACGATTGCATGATTTCACCTTGAGCAGGTGAGTAAGTGTGTGTGGGGCAGAGAACAGGAGTCCAGCAGTGAGGAAGGTGGAGGAGGGGTCAGATGGAAAACACCTGCCATGGAGGTCAAAGGTCAACTCATCTCAGCGACTGGTGAGAACGACCACAGACATGATGCTGACCTGAGGTCTGTGTTGCAATTCTGAATCTTACCTCTGTGTTACCTGTGTGCGCAGACCCTGTCACCTGTGCGGACAGGAAGCAGAGAGAGAGAATGGCGGAACTACAGGAAAGGAGGCGGAGCCTACAGGTGCTGCTGGGCATGCGGTTGGCTGAGCTGAGACGAATTTGTCTGCAGGAGGCGGTGAGTGATGTCATCATCACAGAAGAAACATCATTCGCCAACTGACTAAACCCTCCACCCAAAGTGGATGGTCCAGTTATAGCTGTCATAGTCCTGGACCTGTCCCCATCCATCTGGTCCTCGTAGACCTGGACCTGTCCACATCCGTCTGGTCCTCGTAGTCCTGGACCCACCTAGATGTGTCTGCTCCTTGTTACCTTGGTTTATTTTGGAGGGTCATAGTCTTGTTCCTGTTTTATTTTGACAATCTTTCCTGTTAAATAAATGGCATGTACTGTAATGTCATATGAGGTGAGCTTTCCTGTGTTTTCATTGGTCAGGAGCTGACAGGTACCGTGCCCAGGGAATTCCCCCTGGAGGTGGGGGAGAAACCCCCCTGTGTCCGAAGGAGAGGGGGGGCCTTCAGCCATGGCAACAGGAAGTGCAGAGCAGAGGTGAGCAGCTACCAAGGTTTTCTGACTCCAGTCGAGCCATCGGGTCAAACACTCAGAACAAGTCAAGTGGAACAAATCACTCAGCCAGTGATCAATACGTCTTTATCATTATTGTTTATTTGCTGTGATCATTGGAAAGAAGCTTCAGATGTAGGATCTCAAACTGTCACTGTTACCTGTGCGTTTATTACCTGTGTGTGTAGGAGGAAGACTCTCAGCGTTCAAAGCCGAAGAAAACCTTATTCAGTGGTGCTCTGAGGAAACACAGTGACTCTGACCATAGTACAAACACGCAAACACACACACACCATGGCAAGAGGACTGTGCACAGAGGGTGTCACACAGGTAACGCACACACAGAGGTCACAGAATGTCCTCCCAGTGTAATAAAGCCATGTACACAGAAACACACCCAGCTGGCAGAGAAGGAGAGGCCGTTGTTTGAGGAAGATGAGGAGGACCTGCTTCTTGCTGCTTTTATTCTGAAAGTGACTGTGTGTGTATGTGTTTGCAGATGACACAGTGAGGTCAGAGAGCAGCTCCACATCAGACTCAACAGGACACGACAACGGTAACTCACATGCACACAGACACACTCAGCCAGTGTTTCCTTTGCTTCAGAGGACATCACAGTGATCTGTGTGCTGGAGAATCTCCCCAGCTTTAATCTGACTCTAAAATGTAATATTTTACATTAAGGGGACTTTTCTGGTCCCTCACCTACAACGTGTACCCCAACAGGACAGTAGAAACTGAGTAAAGCAGCAGCTCCCCTGCTGACGGCACAGGTAACACTTCAGATTGCTGCTTATATACCTCGTTTCTGTCGGCAGTAAAGAGTAGAGTAGAGAGTAGAGTAGGTAGTTTATTGATCCCACAGTGGGGAAATTTCTGTGTTACAGCAGCAATAGCGAACAACCAACATAACACCATAAGAACAGAACTTCATAGAAACATGGAAAAGAACACAACGAGGACACAGCTGCTGTAACTTCCTGCCACTCCACGCGGCGCATGTGTGCGTAAGTACGTAGTAACAACAAACACATAGTCTTAAAATAAACAGTTACATAAAGGCAACAAAGCATTAGGACTGATACACACAAGGATTATAAAAGTAGCTTCATCAGAACTTTACATTTTACACAGCACAAATAAGCAAATCAATGGCACCTAAAAACAGGGCAGAGCAGCACTGGAGAGAATCAGGAACAGCAGTAGAGACTAAACAAACAGGCATTAGAGTTTTATTGCTCTTTGTGTGGAAGGGTGGCGGGGGGGGTGGAGCATGGCATGGTTTAATGTCCTCGAGATGGGGATTTGGGCCTTCCGGTGTTGTGTCCGCCACAGAGACACCATGTTTTGTGTGCGCAGTCCCACAGTGGAAACAGCCACAGAGTTACTGTCTAGCTTTTCACATCACTGAAATAATAATAATAATAATCCTTGAGTGAACTGATGAAAACCAGCCAACCAGACCAGAATTGCTCTAAACTGGGTGTTTTCCTTCGTCAGAGACGCTACACAACCCAGGCTGAGCTGCTGCACTTTCAGATCATAGCATTAATAAAAACAATAACCCTGCAGAATGTTTCCCATTTAATACTAACATGTTCTGTTGAAAACAGCTCAGACAGCCTGCTGTGTTTGTTGTATATGTATGCCCTGTATCTGCTGTGACGTTTTCTAAACATGAAATAGATTAAAATTATTGTCAGACAGCATGTGTGCGTTTGATTGACAGCTCTGAAACATATTTGCTGGATTATTCCATCATATTTCTTCTCTCTGTCTGTCTGCAGGATCTCCTGTGGAGGTTTTCTACCAGAACAAAACTAGGAACTCGCTGCACAGGTAAACTCTCTGTGGCTGTGTCCAGAATCACTCCCTCATCCCCTCAGTCACTGCTCCCTGTATAATGTCCACTCACTAGTGAACGGTGCTTGTGGACACTCACTAATCACGTGGCACGTTTGCATCGTCACTGACAGCTGTAACGATCATCAACAGTGATTTTCCCACCATTAAAATGCAGAGCATAGCACAGTGGTACTGTTAGCACAAAGTAGTGCACATGTGTGCGCAGACCCTCTCACCTGTCCAGACACAAAGCAGAAAAAGTTAATGGCAGAGCTGCAGAAGAGGAAGCAGAGCCTGCAAGCGCTGGCGTTTTCTAATACGCGTACTTCTCTGTATTGTGTTCTTGTGGACTTGTAAAACACCATCAATAACAGCCCAGGTACTGTTCAGTTTCAAAGTTTGCATCCAGCCATGTACAAAAAACCAGAAGTGTTCTTGCTCTGCTCATTTTATTGAGGGTGCTTTAAGAGCTGACTTGTGTGGACTTGGGGCAGCCAAGTCAAGAATACCAATGCACTTTATCTTTCCTCACTCCACCTTTATCTATTATGGTATCTTCCAGCTTCTGATTGACTGAACACACCTGATCCAGGAAGTCAGCAGTGGGGAGGGCAGGGATAGTTGGAAAACAAGCAGGGCAGTGGTCCTCAAGGACTGGGATTGCCAACCCCTGCACTATAGTGTAAATGAGTGAGTGATTCAGACACAGCCTGTGACTTCACCCCCACCTGGTGTAATCATGTGACCTGCAGGTGTTGAATGTTCCTCAGTCAAGACTGAGGTGTTCTTTATTCTGGTCTGTGCAGGTCTCAGGTGGTCTTTAGTCTTCTCACCTGTCCCTCTTTCAGGTCTGACCATCTAGAGACTCATCAGACCCACAAGCCCCTCCCCCTGCCTCCCTCTTGTCCTCTCCCTCTTGATCCTCCCCCTCCTCTCCCTGGCTCTCAAGACTCCTCTTCCTCCTCTGGACCATCTGATCCAGGACCAGCTGGGGAGGGGGTGGCCAGGATTAGTGTGGCTTGTAGCAGTAATAACTCTGACAGCCTCCTGGACTGCATCACCCCCCTGAAGGAGGAGGGGAGGCCACAGCAGGCGGTACTGTGGGTAAACAGTCAACCGGGGTCCAGAGGAATGAATACTGCTGGAGCGTTCAGGATCTCTGAGATGCTGATGGACAGAAAGACCAGGATGAATAACGGACCCAATGAGGTGGGAGGGACAGGGGGAGGAGTAGGACAAGAAAGAGGTGGAAGGGGACGAACAGGAGGGGGGCACAGTGAGGTGCTGCTGGACTACATCTGGGGGAAACAGCAGCAGCTGCAGCGACAGCAGCCAATCACATCACAGCACCAGCTGCTCTACAATGACCACTCCTCTGAGCAGGCCCCCAGAGCCTTGCCCACTTACCGCGGTCACCCTGCCGACCAGCGGCGAGTCAAGGTGAGCCGCACTAAGTCCTGCGGCCCCTTCCTCCCTGTGCAGCAGAGCCAATCCGATACCCCTAATCCTCTTCCATCTGCCATCCAGCCAGACCCCCATCCCCACCTGCTGCCTCCCAGACCACCACAGCTGCCCCCCAACCAGGACACCCAGCTAGAGGAAGCCACCAGGAGCCTCCACAAGGCCCTTGCCCTGGAAGGTAAGTACCAAACACTTCCTGTTACACAGTTGACACAAAAAGTTGATTCCACTGTGAAATACCCAGTATGCAGGACTTTGAGTCAGATGATATGATGTTTACTCTAAAGATTCAGCTACTAGGGGAGCAGCGTCACAGGCCCTGAAGTCCAAACCAACTGAATGGTCCAATAGTCAGCCACTAAAACCACCTGTAAATGGATGATTAACAGGCCAAATCACAAATTGTGAGTCCAGCAGCCGCTACCCCCAGTGCTCCAGTACGGCACTCGTACAGATCAGCTACTGTTCACTGCAGGATGGGACACCCAAGTGGGATCTGGATTGCTGGTTAAAGGTTCTCCAGAATGAATTAGTTAATCGGTCACTTTGTTAGTTTGTGTGGGACTTTATTGTCCCCAGTGTGCTAAACTGACTTGGGTGTCAGATTTACTCCAGACCTGGAGAACGCATCCTACTGACAATACCTGATCCAGGTAATCAGTTGTATGCAAGGGTGTCTGTTCAGGACCAGAACTGGGCTCTAGAAATCTTCATGGGTCTCCTTGCTTCCCACTGATCCCACCCTGGGGCTTAGTTGGGCCAGGTCCAGCTTATGTTCTTAAATGAATTCACACTCGGTCTGCATCAAAACATATAAACAGATCGGATAAACTCACCTGTGGATCAGCTCTTAGGGTCTCACTGATTCTCTGATGTTTGACTGACAGGTTTGAGGGACTGGTACCTGAGGAACACGATAGGCTCCACCCACCAAAATCAGACCAATGGAAAGGCTAACGCAGGGGCCAGCACTACAGTCGATGGTGGAGTCAAAGGTCAGGCAGGTGGGGTAGCTCTGCAGCGCAGACGGACAACACATGGTGCCATCCAGCAGTTGACCTATCAGATGGAGACAAGTCATCATCACGCCACATCACTTCACAAACAGATGTTGCCACACTCGGCCACATTCCACGGACACCCGCTTCATGGCAGGTAGGAGTCAGCTCAACTGTACAGGTGCAGATCCACCACTGTAAGACCACCTGAATCCTGTAGCTGATCACCTGTCTCTGTCTCTTTCTCTCTGTGGATAGCTCACTCTACCATGACTCCTTCAATCCTCAGAAACAGGACGTTCCTCTCAGAGCCTCGACTGTGGACCAGCCATCACCAGGGACCCTGGTCTGACTCAGATACCAATCCGGATGCTCACAGACAGAAAAATGGACCGATCCCAGGTTGGCTTCCTGGAACCAGCAACCTGCAGGACTATATGTCCTGCAGCAGCATCTGGGATCACACCACCTGGCTTCAGCTGAAACCCCACCATGATGTCAAGCAAAGGATGATAATGATGTCACTGAACTGAACTAATTCCCCCGTGCCCTTCTCTGGGTTAAACCCATGTGGATCTGCCAGCTGACCCTGGTCTGGACCAGGTTCAGATGCTGCACAGCTTTGGTGAACTGGTTTTTCTGTGACTATCTACAGTCTGAACCAGTTTCACAACCAAAGGAATTTTGGATCAAACTTTTACATGTGAGCTGCAGGTTTTCAGCTGGTGTTGGACTGTTTTTTCTCATCTGTAGCCTTTGAGCAGACTTTGCTGCGACAATCAGGACACGTCAGAGTTTTTATATAAACAAACCTTTGATAAACGTGATGATGGTGACACATTTAGCTCGCTGGCATCACCAGCTCCATCCACCCAACCAGCAGGTTCTTTTGATAAAGTTCAACCAATCAGATCAGGTGACCTGTTCTCAGGTGAGTCCAGAAACCACTAGGTGGAGTTCTGCAGGTGTTTTTCACAGCTCAGACTCAGTGTCTCTGCATTAGAAGTAAACCAGCTGCTGCAGATGGATCAGGTCCTCCTCACCTGAACCTGTTACTGTGTTTCTGAACAGCCAGTACAGACTACAGACCTGGACCTGGTCTCCTCTGTCATCAGGAGCCTTATTTATAAACTGTGTAGGATCCAAACCAGAAACTAGCACTACTCGGCCCTCAGCTCCAAACAAAATTTGAAAAAAGGAGGGCGACAGTGGTGCGGTGAGTGGTGGTGAACAAATCAGCCAAATATTCAGTCTCCCCACATTCCCTCTGGACTGAGACCAGGTCTTCATTCTGAGCTGATCAGGTCCGGGTTTTCAGGTCTCTGCAGGACTCTGTCAGAAACCAGATCCAGTCTGAGAGCAATAAGAGGTTTAAACTGTTTCAGGACAAAAAATGTTGCAGCGACAATCAGATGACACTGTCACATTTGATTGATTCTTTTGTGATTGATTGGTTTATGGATTGACTGAATTGATTTTGCTTTGTTTGGAGCTCTAGTGAAACTTTTATAAAACGAATTCCATATGAATGAAATGCAGCTTTTTAAAACGCGTGATGTCAGTGTTTTATTTATGCTGAGTGTTTCCTCTACTGTGTCGTCTTGTGAGTTGATTTTATTCCTGCAGCGTTGGATCAGTTAGTCCCTGAACCAAAAACTTTCAGTCTGTGGTTTGTTTTCTCTGTTCTGTTCTCAGTTTTTTAAGTCAGGTTGTTCAGTGTCACAAAGTCATACTGACCTCCATGCGAAGCCATGGTCACATGACATGCCAGGCACTTCACATCAAAACACATGAAGAAGAAACACAGTCTGTGTTGCATTTAAAAAAGAAGGCTGGTGATTTTATGCTGCTCCACCAGCTCCCCCCGCTGCACAGAACAACACGTTGGAGCCGTTTGTTGGAAACAGATGCCTCCCGTGTTTCCTGAGGAGGAAACGTGCAGCAGGGTGACTCACTGGGGGGTTTAATAGCTGGTGGACAACAGTGGAGGTCTACGGTACAGAGCGATAAACTGGACTCACATTACGGTGAGGACACCACGTTCACTGGTGCTGCTGGTCTCTGGACGGGGTTGGTGGGGGATGACAATAGAGACAATCACTGACTCTAACCTGTAACATCTTTTCTAGTCAGTGATCGCTGTGGAGTGTTGGCTGAACTCCAGACAAGTTTTACTGTCTGTGTCTGTGGTTCAGAAACTAATACAACAAATTTTCAGATTACTGCATCCACAATCAAACAAAGCAAATCACTGTGATGTCACAGCGCAGGTGCCTGGTCTCTTCACATGATGGGCTGCTCTCTAATGAGCCACTCATCACCTGTAGCATTCAGACCAGTCTGAATTAGTGTCAGGCCTGAATCCAGTTTGATCTGACAGTGAAAACACTGTCAGATCCAACGGACATGAAAATGACATGAATCCAGTTGCATAAGAGAGAAACTCAAGTACTGTACTTACTGTATGTACAATTCTGAGGTATCTGTACTTTGAGTATTTCCGTGTCCTGCTGCTTCATACTGTGACTTCATTCTATGTCAGAGACAAACCGTGTACTTTTTTACTACACGTCATGTACGTACCTTGAATCAGATGAATCAAACCAAACCCAGTAGAACCATCAGACTCTATTGATCCCAGTAGGAAATCCACCAGCTACCCAGCAGGATGGAAAGTACTTCCCAGTATAAGTATATAAGGTAGTTACCATCAGCTCCACCTTTACCAGCTGCAGCATTAAAGTGATGGACACAGTAATTAGTCACTATGATCCAGTATCAGAGACGTTACTGGGACATGGGCCGTTTTGCAGGACGAGTACTGGTACTGTTGGTACTTCAAGTACATTTGGATGCTGATACATTTGTACTTTTACTTAAATAACAAATTTGAATGCAGGGCTTGTAACAGCATATTGGTAAACTGTGGCATTACTACTTTGACAGCAGTAAAGGACCTGAGTATTCCACTGCTAAGTTAAGACAGTGACTGAAGTCATTAAATATGAACAGATCATAACAGTAGAATCGTGAATCCATCACGTCAAACACTGTAACTCTGTTGATACCTCAGTATTGCTCCTCTTGTAGACAAAGAGCAGCTGAATCATTTCCAAAAATATCATGTGTAGAACATGGTTTTTTAATAACTTTTATTGGCCAAGTATGTCACACACACACACGGAATTTGTCTCCGGTACAGAACCGCAGCAGCCAACTGTGGTGTCAACTCACACACACACCAATGGTGGCGCTATCCCTGCAAGGTGCTGACATGGGGTTCAGCATCTTGCCCAAGGACACTTTGACATCTGGTTCTTGAACTGCCAATCTTCTGGTTAGAGGACAACCGTTCTACCTCCTGAGCCACAGCTGCCCTAATCCTAACCCCCATCTTAGAAAACAGCGGCACCAGCTAAGCCTGAATAAGGCTGACACCCGTTGTCATATGACTGTGGCTTCAGTCCCAGCATGCACTTCTTCTAATTCCAGTCGCCCACCAAAGCCAAACAGATGTCTGAACAAAACACAAAAATATATGTGTATATACATTCACTAACTGTTTGCCAACTGTGTTTGATCATGCAGAGAAACACTGTTCAGTCCAAATACTGCAGTACCAATATGTAATACTCTGATACTGTTCAGAGTAAAGTACTGAGCAGTGCAAATATTCAGGGCTGTAGCCAAGATTGTAGAAATACTGTAGAAATTCTCCACCAGCAACCAACCAAACTCTGTGCAATTTTCTGAGGATTTAAAAAGTCAATTTGTTCATGTTATATTTTCAGTCTGGTGTTGGTGTCTCCCTCAGCTGACGAATACAGCACCTTTTTATTCTTATTTACATTTAGTCACAAAATGTCTAAGTGCATCTCCAGATGTGTAAACATAACCCCTCCCCATCCCATGCCCCTTCCATGATATTTAAATCCAGAAATATCAGAGGTTGATCACAGTTGATCACTGTCCTCTGGTACCAGTACTGTGGAGTAGTAGCAGTAGTTCTGGGAGCCATACTCTGATGTTCCGTGTCCCCCCTTCAGGTCCAGGACCAGCTTTTGTCCAGCTGTGTGCCAGTGCGACATCACTGCTGGGATGCATTCAGGTGCACTCTGTACAGTTTGTTTCTCATCTTTCTGATGCACAGTCTGAGCTTTCTGTAAAAAGCTTTTTCTTTGATTGTACGTTTTTCAGTCTCAACTCTTTCTGCTGTTTCATATTGGAAAGTTAAAACACTTACTGTAAATAAATGACTGACAGCTGTTTTTAAATAAAGACTTCTTACTGTCTCCCGAGAGTCTTCTTAGTCTGGTGTACACTGAGCCACGGGGGAAGCTGGAGATGTCCTGCAGCATCAGATTTATTAACCTTGTCTTTTTGACTTCTCTCCATTCCACAGTAACACCTGGAGCACGTGCATGGCCACAGTTTTCTAAGAAAGAAGTGACACCTGTCGAGCTATAACTGAAGTCAAACTCTCAGCAAATACTGATGATAATGAATAAACTGTAAAAATTAAATGTGCAAATATGCAAAACAGCCACGCGGTAAATAATTTAAAGTGGCATGAATCCCACCTGGGAGTGGTGGTGTAGCTGCTGGTCCAGTGGGGCAGCACCACCCATCATTTTCCTCTCAAACACAAGTCAGAATCAGCTTTATTGGTCAGGTGGGGCCGCTGGAAAAATTTTCAAGCGTTGACCGGTCCGCAGTGATAAAAAGGTTGGGGACCACTGATATATGGCATAGACACTACATCCTGTTAAAAAATAGTCCGAATAGCTCGATTGTTCTTCTTTCTTATAGTGGTGAAACATGTTTTCCCTATGGATCCAATAAAAAAGAGGAGTCATCCGTATCATTGTCCAGGTTCTTGAAGAGCAACAGCAATCCAGCAAGCTAGTTGGCAGCATTGGTGGTGGTTCCACACTGGGCTGCCTTTAAAGGGTTGTTGATGCCTTTACACTTCAATGCTGATCTTGCTGCTTTGATGATGCAGAAGCCGTCTTCTCTGCCGGTGTTGGACATGTCTCCTGAACCGAAACGGTTTCAATGCGTGTCCATGAGATAGAGGAGGCCTCGTGCCAGCTAAGGCTTCCAGGTCCTGCAGTGAGGGGGTTCAGAAATATATTACACACAAATGCTGACATACATCAATAAAAAATGTCTTTTAACAGCAATACACCAAATACCAAACTGCAAGATATTTACAAATTACATCATATGTAATATGTCAATGGTGTAAATAAAATAACACTAGAGAAGAAGCAGATTACTAATTTGAGTCCCTATAAATGGCACCGACTGACATTTCATACTATAACGGGAAAGGGAACACTTGTGTGATTTGTCAGGAGGTGTAAATACTGTGGCGACCCTGACCGGCCGCTGATGTTCATGTGTTCTGTTGTGTGCGAATGGGTTTGACAATGTTATTGAAGGCTGTTCATGTATTGGTTACCGCTGTCATGTACATATGTCACCATGCAAGGGGCAAGTAAACAGTAAACCAACACAAGGCTGTGTAGTATAACAAAATAAGCAGTATAAACAGGCAGTAAATGATGCAGACAGGAATGTTCATTGAAAAGAGATAAATAGGGATAAAAATAAAGTGCTTAAAAAATAGAGAGCCGTACGGATGTGTGTGCAGTTATTTTTTTTTTTTACTAAATCAGAATGTCTACTGCTGGTGAACAGACACACCAGGTGGGAATCACTGGCTAGACTGGAACATTGCTACAGCTCATTTGTGTCTGTTTGCATGGAAACCAGGACAAGCTGATAAATAATGACACTCCTGTCCAACAGGACACTGCTGCAGCATACAGTAGCTACATAAATGTCTCCTCTGAGAACCACTGTGGATGTGTTCACAGCACTCACCAGAGACGGGGTTAAACAGTCCGTAGGTTTATTCTGACCCCCGTCCTCTCGGATCCTTCAGTTTGAAGTTGTTCAGTATTGAAATCTTTACAGTACAGGTTACTACATAAACATATAATAAGCCACATTCCTACAGGTGCTGTTTGCCTGAACTAGTTTCTGCTCTGCAGTGAAGCTGGCTGTGACGGGTCAGCACCAACAGCAGGGCACAACAATGTCTGCACAGTGTGACTACAACTCACCATTACAGTGCACACCTCAGCAATATAGAGAACCTTTAAAGTTTTATTTTCAACATGTTTCACATTTGTCAACCTCCAGAACAGCAGTCTAGTCCCCTTGGGAGTCAGACCAGGTGTAATATGGCCCCAGGTGTCTACAGCTGAGGGAACCAAAACAAAGAGAAGTCACCTACAAACATACAGTAACACACAGCAGCTACCAGTCATAAATGGGTTTGTACCAACAGCTAGCAGCCAGTGGTACAAAGTAACTGAGTACACTTTCTCAAGTACTTTACAATTTAGAGATATTTCTGCTTTACTTGAGCATTTCCAATTTCTGCTACCATCCTTGGACTTTAAATCAGATCTTGTACTTTCTACTGTATTAGGCCATATGCATTTGATAAGGCCAGTTCCTTTTCAGAATCAGATGAATAAAACAAAATACAGCATAATCATAAATCAAATCTAAATTTACTTCTATAACACGTTAAAACCAATAACCGACATACATACAAATAAAGAGAAGGAAACAGTAAAAGAAGAGCACATGTCCTGCTCGTCCTCCGGAGAAGCTGTTTGGAGCTGCTTTTCTTTTCCCAGAAAAAGCGCGGGACTTTACTGGATCTAACAGCGATGACGAATTGGCCATATTTCTGCTGGACAGGTAATTACCCCCTATCTGTGTAGGCTATTACAGGACAAAGCAGGACCTAGTGGGTATGCTAAACGGGCCAGGTGGTCATCTCAGGTTGTAGGCCCCCTGTCTCTGCAAGATACTACATGGCAACGCAGAACTTGGAATATGCTAAGCGGGCCTATGTGAAGATGCAAAACAGGCCAACAGGTCTGTGTTAAAATGTAAAATAGGCCGTCTGGTTACTTGAAGGCACAGACATCATGTCGCCACAAAAGTTAAAGCAGGCAGTTTCTACTTCAGTATCACTTGACACTCATCAATACAATTGTAAGATGTATAAGCAAGGAAAATAAAGATATTAAAAGTAACCAAAGCTCAGTAGTTCTGGACAATCATCAATACAGTGTAATATGTATAATCAAGGAAAGTAAAAGTATAAAAAGTAACTAAAGGGCAAATAAAGTTATGACAGGTAACTACAGGAAACTAAAGTTATGAAAAGTAACTAAAGATTATAAAGTAACTGAAGCCTATAAGATTCAAATCTTGCGCTATCCATTGTGCTATTTGAACTTCCCTTGCTTAACCCACTGTTCCACTGCCATACTGCTGCTACTGAAAGTGAAACTACTACTGGTAAACATACAAAGGTAATGATATTAATCTTTATGAAAATATTTATGTCAACATACATTAAGAACATTCTTGACATGATTTTATGGTGCAATAGTTTGGACCTGTATTGCACATTTTTTACCTTCTTCTGCATTTTACAGTAATATAATTTGATTGTCAAGCAGCCCCTGTTTGATTTGTCAGATTTAAACTTTCACAACAATTAATCCATCAACAAATCATTAATTTAGAAAAACAATATCTAACCATTTTTGTAACTCATAAGGCCACATAACATATCGATGCTCCAATACTTCAAAATTGTGTTGTGCAGTGGACGGCTGGTGGTCACACACGTCTCCGTAGACACAGACAGCTTCCTTCCAACTTTCCCTTCCTGCCAAAGGTTCATTTGTTGAATGTGCATAAAACAAACATCATTTGGACTGTGTGGCAAGAGCATTAAATATTGTTATATTCCTTAAATTCAGAATGAACAGTCCATAGTTAACATAGACCACTACCTGTGATGTATTATGCAACATACTTGGAATTTATTTTATTTCATGTAGTAAATAGCATTTTAAAAGTAGTCCAGCTGATCACATGCACTGATGGACATAGCTCTAATTTATACAGTCAACATCCGCGCCTGGTTATGTTCTAAGTAAACTAACGTTAGCCTGTTTGTAAAGTCCCCTGCGACGACTTTTGTTATGATTTGGTGCTATACAAATAAAAATTGAAATTGAATTGATTTACAGCCAGATCTGACCTCTCACCCTCATCTCTCCGAGTTTCTTCCCTGTCTCAGCTTCCTCTAAAGAATTTTCTTATGTCCATCTACATGAGTCAGTTGTGTTTGAGATGATCGGTATGACTTAAAAACTTAATCCCCATCGCATACAGTCCATGTCTTTCTCTTGTTTCGCGCTTGAATAAGTGGATTGCTGCGTGCGCGCTGCAGTGCAGAGCTACACTGTACATGGGGGGTATGGTACATCAGTGTTTGTGTGCACACCATCCTGTATGAGTCCTGACCACTACACCTCGGCTTGTATTTTGCTTTGACATTCAGGATTAGAAAATATCAATTATTTTCCTGTTATTATCAATCAAAATATGAGGAGAGCCCTCTCTGCAGGAGGCAGTGCAGAAGCACGGTGGAGGGAGGGACCTGGATATTATACTATCAAATTCTCTACCAAATCCACCCAATTCTCAAAGTTAAAGAGCCCAGCTTTAATGTGCAATGGGCCCTTATGCAGAATGATGACTGTTACTTTGGGTACAACAAGTATATTTGGATGGTGATACTTAAGTAACATTTTGAATGCACGGAGCATTTCTACACTGTAAAATATCTGCTTTTACTTGAGTAAATGATTAGAATACTTCTTCCACCACAACTAACAGCTAACGGCTACTTCCCTGTCGGAAGTAGGACGAGGTAAGAAGGTTAGGAGGATGTGTTTGAGTATTGGGATGCGGCCCGTCCTGTCAGGTAAACTATCTCTGAGTTGCTGTTAGACCATTAAACGGTATAAGTAACGAAATAAAGTAGAGATTTGTGGAGGAGGGATATAAACCGATGACGTATCTGTGCCCTGGACAGGTTTGGGAGCACAAGCCGCAGATTAAACCGTCAAACTTTCAACGCTTTTCATGTTCGCATCAGAGTAAGAACAAAGTTCCTGTTAGCGGCTAGCTTCGGTTAGCATCCCGCTGCTAGCTATCGGGTTATTTAACCCGGGTTACACTTTTGGCACCGTTCTCTGTCCGCTCAGTGGTCACAGTAACATGGTCCACAGTCAACACTTATTCATAAATGTGCTTTTACCGGCGACAATAAGAGCGGCTGTTTGCGTTACCCGGCTGCTACACCCAGTATTTACCTTAACGTCACAGTCAGAAGCTAACGCAAAGTTAACCGGAACTGGACTCAGCTGCAACGCTTTTAATTCGTCTTATCGGGTTTTACCAATGGGAACAGACCGACCGTTTCTACAACTGTTTGTTTAATCAGTGTTTTTAAAAGCGAGGAGTTCACATAGGGTACATTTCGTCAGTGGTACCTTTACTGTGACGTTTCATTACACTATGTGTTTTACTTACTGTGGATACTTAAGTAACAGTAATAATACCAACCTGTAAAATGCTACATTGCAAGTAAATGTCTTGCATTATACTCACAAAAATGTGCTTAAACTATTACAAGTAAAAGTACTCATACTACTGAAACTTTTATAACGTATAGCCTATATTTGTACTCACTGTTGGGTTGTTTAATTTAGAACAAAACAATGTTTTATTTGGATTTGTAAAATAAGAACCAAAGCTATAGAGTAAATGTAGTGCAATAAAAAGTACAGTTTTGAAATGAATAGAAGTATAAAGTAGCAGAAAACGGAACTACTCAAGTACTAGTACCTTAAAATTGTACTTGAGTACAGTACGCTTGGACAGATAGTGATACAACAGGCCCCTGAGCACAATCCCAGCTGACATTGGGTGAGAGGGTCCACCCCGGACAGTTCGCCAGTCTGTCACAGGGTGACACTAGACAAACAACTACACGTGCACACACTCACTCCTACGGGCAGTTTAGAGTCACCAGTCAACATAAGCTGCATGTCTTTGAACTGTGGGAGGAAGCTGGAGAGAACCCACGCAGGCACAGGGAGAACATGCAGACTCCGCACAGAAAGGCCCCGGGTCGGCTGAGATAAGACTTAAGATCAGTTTTATTGATCCTCACAGGATGTTGGATGTGAAAAAAGGTGTGACCTGTCATATAATTAGTTAAATTTACTTTGTCTCATTTGTGTTCTAGAGTTCGTTCATCTTCAATATGAGCACCAGAGAGCACACATATATTGTACATAAAATTGAAATCAAATAAATACTGTAATATAAAACCAATGTAAAAATGTAAATGACTAACTGAATGTTGAGTTAAATTTTCATGTCAAACTACATTTCCTAATGTTTTAGTCATGTGTTCATAAGGACACTGTGCATTTGTCAGTATTTCTGTAAATGTGTGGGTGTTGGTTTGTTTTCAGCTGCAGCAGTGATGCGAGGGTCAAAACAGACAAAATGCCACAAACATAAATGGCAGCACAATAATCAGGATGCAGGGAACAGGCTGCGCACATCAGTGCAAATGTACCACTAACAAAACGCTGCTTGTAACATTTCCGACACATGCAAAGCAACAGAAGGTCAAAAGTACAGGTATGTGCCAAAAAATTAGAATATCGAGGGAAAGTCCATTTATTTCAATAATTTGTTTCAAAAAGTGAAACTTGTATGTTATATCAGTTCACTGCACACAAAGTGAAATATTTCAAGCCTTTATTTGTTTCAATTTTGATGATTATGGATTAAAGACAAAAACACCCCCAAATCCAGTATTTCAAAAAATTAGAATGTTTCATGTGACCAATAAAAAAAGGATCTTAAACACATGCTGGCCTTCTGAAAAGTGTGTTAATGTACTGTATTATGTCCTCAGTACTTTGTTGGGCCTCCTTTTGCATTAATTACTGCATCAAAGCGGCGTGGCATGGAGGCGATCAGCCTTTGACACAGTTGAGGTGTTATGGTAGCCCAAGTTGCTTTGATATTGGCCTTCAGCTTGTCTGCATTTCAGGGTCTGTGTTCCCTCATCTTCCTCTTGACAATACACCAGAGATTTTCAATGGGGTTTAAGTCAGGTGAGTTTGCCGGCCAATCAAGTACAGTTATTCCATGGCTATTAAACCAGGTACTGGTAATTTTGGCTGTGTGGGCAGGTGCCAAATCCTGCTGGAAAATAAAATCTTCAGCTCGGCAGCGGGAAGCATGAAGTGCTCTAAAATTTCCTGGTAGACAGCTGCGTTGACTGTGGACTTGATAAAAGACAATGGATCCACACCAGCAGATGACATGGCTCCCCAAACCATCACTGACTGTGGAAACTTCACACTGGACTTTAAGCAGCTTGACTTTTGTGCCTCTCCGGTCTTCCTCCAGACTCTGGGACCTTGATTTCCAAATAAATGCAGAATATGCTTTCATCTGAAAACAGGACTTGGGACCACTGGGCAATAGAC